CGATTCCTTTCGATGTTAATATTTTGCCTTTATAACGAATTCCGTTGAGCAATGAATTTACCACGAACAGCTTCGATGGCTTAGTTGGTAGAGCATCGAACTCACAATCGATGAGTTCTGAGTTCATGTCGCAGTCAGGGTCACTAGCTATTCTTGTTTTCAAACTTGATAAATGAATGCCATTCTGTGGAAAGAAAAAAGGAGGCTACACGCTACACTTGTTACATAGCTGTAGGCCTTCCATTTAAAGAACAAAAGGCACTCCTGACTGATGTGCACAAACGGAGATCAGCACCGCACCTTCAACTTTATGCAAAGAGGGGCTCCAAAATGACCAAATCATGAAAATAAAAGAAGACCAACATTCCAACGGTTACAAACTTTCATTTCTTTCTTACTGTTTCTTCACTGCTTTATCACACTGAGCATATATACCGCTAAAACCTATCCTTCAGTATAGGTTTAGAGTGGTGGTGTGTTTTCTTAACAGACTTGCTGTAATGTGAAGCATGAATAAATCTATTAACCCGATGGGCTGACCGTTTCGTGGTTCATGTAAGTCTTTTGGCATTACCCGTATGGATAGAGAGAATGTACTCCACTGTGTTGAGTCTTGGCACGCGATTCGTTGTTCGTGGGAATAAGGCACCCATATGTTGTCCGACAGAGTTTGTATGTTAACAGTACTAATACACGAAGCATAAGCTAATGTAGCTCTAGCTGTATGGGGAGCTTAGACATTATGTGGTTTTAACGCAGAATTTACTTTTAAAATCATTCGCCATGATCCATAAATTGATTATTTTTTAACTTCATCTAATCCTTAGAAATCTGAGTACTTGTTCTTTTATCTATCGCTTCTAGCTAAAGATTTCGCCATCTGTGAGCATTTGTTTGCTGTTGTTTACCCTGGCTTTACGGCTGCTGCTTGTTGCACTACTTCGTGATAATTTTTAAATGTTTTTTTAACTGGACCATAAACTGTCTGATAGTCCGTTTGTTTATTTCAGGCAGCGACTAGAACTGATGCACGAACTGTACATGAGCGAAGTCGAATCGATTCCGAACACTCCTCAGCAAACGGTTGAGACGTTGCTCGGCACCGACCCATTCTACGATCGATTCCCGTGGTTCAGGCTTGTTGGCAGGGCGTTTGTCTACCTGACCAACTTATTGCACAACTTTTCATTGGTACATAAGGTGGCAATTGTGAACGAAAAGGGAGACGTCAAGGGTTACCTGCGAGTCGGCATACAGTCAGTGGATAAAAGTAGGTGGTTCAGTCGGACTTTGAAATGACTTATGCGCCATATCCCAAAAATATACGCAACAAGTGCTGAAATAGCAAATGACACTGCTTGTGATTGTTTACGCATGCGAGAAACCATTCCTCAAGAACTCGCTAAACACCTTGCCTTCTCTTGCCAAAGTCACATGCGTAGACAGTGGACCGGATGACTATTATATAAAAACTCTGGCCTGGTCGCCCTCTGGAATCTCAGGTCACTGCGCTTGTCCGTTTGGCGGCGTACCTGGATCTCTGAAATGGCTTTTTGCAGGAGTTACCCCCTCTTTGAGAACGAATTAACAAATGGATACTCGAATGAATGCAGCAACGATGATTAAGTACGAAAGTTTCGGTCAGAGCTATCCGTAGTTAACGTTTCGGCCTGAATCGCACAAGTGCCTTTCAATGTGACTTGCGTGATGTAACAGTAGCCACTTTGGCAGTAATAATCACCTGCTGTTAATAGATAATTTAGAGTTTTCCCAACAGCGCATATTCCTTCAAAGTGAATTGGTTGACGACATAAGTTTACAAGTTGTGTAAAGCCTTTGCTAGGATTGTTGAGTGTCCGAGCTCTTCGATTCCACCGTTGTGTCCTTAGTATGAAGCAAGGAAGCATGTTTCAATTTCTGAAACTGTCTTTTGGCCGCAATCACAAACAGGATACTGCGAAATAAACATACATAAATCTGTTTTTATTCGGCCTCTGTTTTGCCAAACCTTAGTGTCGAAGAATTTTTACCATTTATGGCCGTGTCACCTCAAATTTGGTAAGTTTTTTTAAAGGATATCATCTCATACCAAGGTTACATGTTTATCACATATTCTCTAACGAAGTAGATGATTCTCAATCCGTCGTTCGGATTCATCATAAGGTGTTGTAAAACTGCGTTAAGGCTTTACAACAGAACGAGCGTCGTAACCTTGCAGCGATCTCTTGTTACTGCGCCACAATAACAGAAATAGGTGTGGCATTATTTTTGCATAACAGCTTTCGGTATGGTCAACTGGCTTTCGGTATGGTTAACTGCGATTTCAGATTTGACTGAGCTGATTATCATCGTGATCTTTTGTTCAAGTGTATTTGTATTTTGTGATAAATTCCATGTTTTTCTAGTTGTCTTTGCTTAAAAATGGATCATTTTTCATGTTTCATGATCCGATTCATCCAGTAAACTTTCATTAATTTTTTTCATTCACTCATCCATGTAGTTGTTATCATGAGTTTTGCGTTAGCGACTTGTTGGAGCTAGCTAGCCCTCTTTTGTATGTATACAGTGTTGTAGTATGGTATAATATTTTGGATCGTCCCTGGGATAGTCACACTGGGATATTAATATGAATGTTTAATTCTGGTAGCCTTACCACGTGCAAAACGTATGAGAAGAGCGGCTTTGCAATGGTCAGTTACGTCAAAGATATAATTTGTATATATGTTATATAAATAAATGGTACATTCAGTAAATAAACCTCACCTAAATTTTAGATGAGGAAGAAAAAATCGATTCGGTCAAGAAGGTGCGTCAGTCGGCGAAGCTGCATTTCCGCCAAGAGTACTTTTTCAAGAAGAAGTGTAAGAATGACATGTCGAACAACAGCCTGAACGCACTGTCGCTTGAGGACCGTATCATCGAAGGCTACAGTGGCGACTGTTCTGACCAGAACGATGGTAGTTAATGTGGATCTAGTGGTAACGAGTTAACCGTAACGTTCGCAGAGCTCGTCACCAAACCGGTATCGAACACGAATTCTCTGTTATGCAGCAACGCGTACGAGCAAATCGATGATTTTCCGTTCGAATTTCCTCCTCATATGAGAGAGGGTGAAGAGTTCACTTTTCGAGTAACCATCCTTCAAGCACTGAACATATCACCTCATTTTGCAGACGTA